TGCTCGCTTCAGTGCCTGGCTGCTGGCCGCCATCTTGGCTGACAGTTAATTTGCATATTACTCACTGATAGCCAATGAAAAGGGTAGCGGTCGTACGCTAATTACCATGTTTCTCTTTTATTAGTGTAGATACTAAAACAAACTACTTTGCGTAAAAACTTATCCTTTTTCTTTTTGCTGAGCTTGTTAGAAGATAGATCACTAAAGGCTATGAAACTAAAGTCCTTTTGCTAAAAGTCACTTTACTAAGTTCCACAATGATGGTGACAATCTGCCATGCTGCCACATGTCCCTCTAGCCCAGCGGTTCTCAACCTGTGGGTCGAGACCCCTTTGGCGGTCGAAAGACCCTTTCACAGGGGTCGCCTAAGACCATCCTGCATATCAGATATTTACATTACGATTCATAACAGTAGCAACATTACAGTTATGAAGTAGCAACGAAAATAATTTTATGGTTGGGGGTCACAACATGAGGAACTGTATTTAAAGGGCCAGAAGGTTGAGAACCACTGCTCTAGACTTTCTGGCACTAAGTGTTGCAACTTCTACTTGAAACAAAGCTGGCATCTCTGCTTCTGTGAACCACCTCCCCTGGCTCTGATGCCCACGCGTGAGCGTCTGCCTCCTCAGACCAGTCACTGGTCAAGCTTACGAAGAGGCAGACTGGCTCCCGAGTCCCACCTTCAACACAGTATTAGATCTACCTCAGCTTCATAGTTAAAAACCTGGTTACCAGTGGCCAAGAGGTTGAGTGGTAAACCTCAACTCCTCGCTGTCACTGCCTCTTCTCATGCTCCCGGAGGCCCCCCCTCCAGTGGGACAGCCCTGTGTCTGCATCAGGTTCTCCTCTGGCCTCGCTGCTTCCTCTCCAGCCTCTGCTCCTCCCACCCTGGAAGTGCCGAGGCTTCCTGGCCCACCTCTCACTTCTCACTACCACGCTTCATTCCTTTCAACTCTCAGCACAGTACTTTTATGCTCTAAAAAGTTGAAAACACTTAAACGTTCCAAAAAACAGGGCACTGGGGACATGACTATGGCACATCCATGAGGATTACCACCCAGCCCCAGAAGGCACAGGGAAGAGCACTGGAGGACAGCACTCGTGTCCTTGTGAAACAGGATGCACACTTTGATGCCACTTTTATTTTAATTTATTTATTTTTAAAATATATTTTTATTGATTTCAGAGAGAAAGGGAGAGGGAGAGATAGAAACATCAATGATGAGAGAGAATCATTGATTGGCTGCCTCCTGCACTCCTCCCACTGGGGATGGAGCCTACAACCCAGGCATGTGCTCTTGACCGGAACTGAACCCGGAACCCTCCAGTCCACTGGCTGACGCTCTATCCACTGAGCCAAACTAGCTAGGGCAGATGTCACTTTTATTTTAAAAATACTCTGCACACGCCCTGAAACACATTAATGTATAAATACACATAAAGAAATAGAAAAATGCACAGTAAAACGTTAAAGTTCATTATCTCTAGAGATGGTGACTTCTTTTCACACTTTTAAAATATTATGTGTTGGCTATCTGTCACATATATAGTTGGGACAAGTAATACCCAGGCACCCACCTCCTCCCAGAGTGGCTTCTGTTCCTACAGGATGTCTGCTCACTAGGCAGAGCCCTGCCCTGACCCCCAGCTACTTGGAAACCTTTCCCAGGCCCTCCCAGCAGCCCAGTGCCAGGCCTCTCTCCACCTATGGCACAGAGAGTGGGAGCTGTTGTGGGGGGGGGCAGATAGAGGGGGAAGGACCCTCCGTCTTCCTGCCCCTCCTTTGTGGCCAAGGCTAGCTCCTCGGCAGGGCCCAGATCGCATCCCTCCATGTCCTCAGGGGCCGTGTCCACCAATGGACCCTCCCCTGCACAGGGAGCTTTCTTCTCTCTCTGGCCCACTGGCATTCACGCAGGTCAGGCCTCTCCCACGGGGAACACCCCAACGCCCTCTTCTCTCCCCAGTTTGTTCACGCTTCAACCCACTTTCAACCCTTCCGGAACCATGCTCACAAAGTCCAATGGACTCCTGAGAGAAACAAAACCTGTAAAGTGTGGACTGTGATTACTTAAGAAGAACAGGAAAGTAAACGGTGGGCCCCTTCTCAAAGGAAAGGTCTTGGCTCTATGTCAAAACACTGGTGAATGAGCATGTGTTTCCTGTGTTTCAGGTTAACGTGGAATTTGCACGTATATAGTAAATTAAAAATCCAATGGAGCCCTTCCCTCCGGGTCTGACTGGTGGGATCCCTTCGCCACAACTTCCTCCCGAGAGTTCCCTGTAACACCATTCACCACGCGCTTCGGGCCTCCCTTCCTCTCCAGCTGTTCTTCCAACTTCTTCCTTAGTGTTGGTGCTGCTTTGGATTTTGCCTTTACCCTTTACCTGGTTGATTTCATTGGCTTTTCTTTGGTTCCCATGGAGCAACTAGTCAATCAATGCCCCTCAAGTCTGTCTCCAGCCTCACTCGCTGGCCTAAACTTCAGACGGCCATATCCAGAGGCCTAATGGATACGTCTGCTTGGATGCCCTGCAGGTCTTAGGAGTCACATGTATTCAAAGGGGTTATCATACACTTTTTCCCTCCTGCTATGAAATTTTCTCATTGAATTGCACTGGCACCTACTCATGAGTCCTAGTCAGACCTGTAACTCTTCTATTCCTGCTTTTCTCCTACTGAACCCAAATGCCTTGGAATAATTCTCCATCTGAGTGAAAGCAATCTTCCCAAAACTTCATGTGACCATGCCACGTCCCCAGTTAAAATCCTTCACAGACTCTCCAGTGTCCCCAGTGAAGTCAAGACATGGCTGGAAATCCCCCTGGGGTGAGCCCGTCTGAGCCCCTTCTGCAGACCTCCCCCAAACACAGCATGCTCCCTCTCTCCACTCAGGGGGAACCACTCCCATCTCTCCACCTTCTCCCCCTGCTCTGACTACAACCTCCTACTTGGCTTTCATGCTTCATCACTTGCAGATCCTCCTGGGCACCGAGACTGGTCCTGGTGGGTCTTGGTGCTGAGCCCGACCACCCACCACATGCACCACAATCTCCTGCTTATCTGCCTGCCTCCGCATGAGATTAGAGCTCCCACTCAGCCATGCTGGTATCTGATTCAGGCTCACAATTTTTATCACATCACAGGAACAAAAATATGACCAGCACAAACAAAAGCAAACTGAGAACAAAGGTATTTAACATTTTTCACAAAGATAGCAAGGCTAACTCAAAATTGCCTTGGGCCTCTAAAAATAATCCTTTCTATTACACGCTAAAAATAACGATGCAGCTCAGGAATGGCAGTGGTCAGTGTTCAGAAGAATCATTAATCACCACTTAATCGATATACAGTTCTCTATTAGTCCGGGGATACTTACAATATCACAGTCTTTCTTGCCATCTCGTTTAATTGGCTCATTCAGATCCTCTTGGCTTCGAAAACTAAACTTTTCAATGGCTTCTGTAACTCCACGCAAAGAACTATAGATTTCTTCAGAGTTCAGGTTCTCTGTATCATTGTCCAGCAAGCTAAAGATCAAAATATTTTCTTTCTTAAATTGAGGCATATGCATAGAATTGAGATGTGTGCATACATTTCTTCTAATAATTTATGGAGTAAGGTATAGTTTTGCTTCTTTCGGTGATTTAGGTGGAATGAAAAGAAGACATCTGTTATTAGAGCACCACTGGGGGACAAGTACACACCTTCCCTGTCAAGCCTGGTCCTAACACATTGCATAACACACAATTAGAACCAGTGGGAAACAACCACGAGGATGCAAGAACTCAAAGAGTGACAACTGGTGACTGAATGCACGAGGTAATGAAAGTGGAAAAATAACCGGCATATCTTGAGCATGGAAGAAAGTAGATTGGTTGTTACTGGTCTCAAATGTACAAACTTAAATGAAAAGGAATGGGCACTTCAAAGTAAAGCTAGATTACAAACAGATTTCAGAGGAGCAAAGCAAATGACTTTACCAAGCTGGGTTACGCTCACCAGTATCAGAAACTTGTACATAAAATCCTGTGTTACCGCCCAGCTGGTGTGACTCAGTGGTTGAGCACGGACCTATGAACCAGGAGATCAGGGTTCAATTCCCAGTCAGGGCACATGCCTAGGTTGTGGGCTTGATCCTCAGAAGGGGGCGTGCAGGAGGCAGCCGATAAATGATTCTCTCTCATCACTGATGTTTCTCTCTCTCTCTCTTCCTCTCTGAAATCAATAAAAACTAAACAAATATAAAACTAAAACACCAACCCTATAAGTTGAAGTCACCTCCACCTTACCACTGGGCTCCTGAGAGTCTAACTCGGCTAGCTAACCCAGGAACTTGTTGGGAATATCAAATCCTTGTAGATGCTTATTTTGGAGTTTTATAATAAGAGCCAATCTTATAAAGATGAGTCAGTTTCTAGATGCATGTTTAAAACCATTTTTAAAAAAACCAAAATTATCTGTCCCTTAAAGAAAAGTGATTGTCAACTGATGTCATTTTTAAAAAAAATTTAGCATAACTAAGATGAAATGAAGCAAAAATCCTAACCAGCCTTTGGTGTAATGCAGTGTATCAACAAGTGGCCTTTAGGTGTCTGAAAAGTACACTGAAATTGAAAATCCCAAGAACAAAAACCATCAACTGCCCCTCACTAAGAATATATTTTAAAAGCACAGAAAAAATACAAGAATATAAAGAAAGCAAAACGTGAAGGAACACTCAACAAAGACAAGTACAACTATAACTTAGTTAAGATGTCACTTGTTTCAAAAAATACCCAGGACAAAATCAGTTGTGTGGTCTATGTGGCTGCAAAAAGTCCTGAGCTACACGGAGGATTGCTAGGAACACTAAAGAGTCCTTGGCTGTATATAAGGAAGCTTTCACCATTACTAAGGACGGCACTCTTTCTGCTCCTCTAAAGAGAAATAGTGAATTAAGCACCCACTGGCAGGAGCCCTTCCACAGGACAGCACAATCCACCCCTCACAGAGGTAAGTTTCCTGTCACTTAAAAACAAACACACTTCCTAAGCCCCTCCCCTGTCTATTGTTGTTTTTTAAAAGCTTGGGCAGGCAAGCAAGAGGGCTTTGGACAGTTCTCACTTGGAGTGGTCAGGCTGCCTGAGGGTGCCACGATGCAAGCGTTTTCTAGGCTAGTCAGGTTCCGCTGGAGCGTCAGGCGAATTCACTCTTAGAGATGGAAGCTAGCTGCCTAAAATTGCAGAACCGGCCCAGACAGAACGCACTTTTCTGTTCTGATGAAAGAAAATACACACCCTAACTGTACTCGGCCAGTTCACAAACATATCAACTCAAAGATTGGCTCTGGCGTCAAACAAAAAAGGAATGAACCTGAACATACAGCTAAAATTCCATGTATACACTGACAGGAGGTGGATAAAAACTTGAACAGAATTCAAGATTTCCAGTCCTTCTAAATCTCCAACGTTATTGCTCCATGAGCTCCTCAAACACCACAATCCCAGCTTATGTATGAGCAAAAGCATTTATACATCTGGCCAGTACACTATTTTTAATATATAAAGACTGAATAAACAAAAAATATGTATATAAGATGTAAAAAGATGTCTTAAAATACTCTGAATCAAAACAACCAAAACTAATAACATAGCCCATGCACACACACACCAAAAAGAAAAAAAAGAAAAGAAAGAACGATGGGATGGGCAGGAGGAAGTGATGACGTTCAGCTTTTTAAGGGATGTCACAATATTATTTTCCATATGTCGCTTCAGATGATGTTAACTTTCACGTAATTCATCTCATTTTTCTTCATCTGAACCTCCTTAGAATAATTCATTTCAGTTCACATAACTTTAGCGTTATAGTAGCCTCTTTTTAAAAGAGAAAGCAAAGGATTCTGCCGGCTCATGCTCCTCCTTACTGTCAATTACTAAAGCAGGGCAGACTTCCCTGCAGGAGCCCATGTGCATGGCCGAGGCCAGGCTGCGCTCCTTTCAGACTCGCTAGCTGAGGTCTCGAAGGGCTCCTTGGTACGAAGCGAAAACTGTGAGCTCCAGGTGAGAGCGATCATTGTTTCCCTCGAACAGGAAACAGGGTACTTTCTTGGCTATTTTATGCTTTGGCTTGATTTGTCTTTTTTCAAGTCAACACCTCGGAGCCCTCATTTCATACAGAAAAAGGAAACTCCCGTGAATGTCGTCATCAGGGAACTGTAGACACTGTGGCCCCAACAAGCCACACGCTGGGGGAGCAGCAAGACACACGCAGCAGCTTCACTCGGGGGTAGCCCGGCCTGTCACCTGCCCCGCACTCAGCTCGGAGACAGCTCCGGGAATGACCCTTAGGGCAAGGCCAGGCCCTGTCCCTGTAAACCTGTGATGAGAGCTCAGAAAGTTTGCCTCAGGAGCCTTCAGATTAGCAAGAGTGGCTCCACTGGCCAGCAGTCACTGACCTGGGGTCAGCCAGGCACCCAACACTGAGCACAACACAGCCCTGGGCCGCAGGCTGTGAAGGGTGCGGATCCTGGGCGGGGAGGTGCACGAGGTCAGATTGCCAAGGAAGAGAAACCGGAGACAAGCAATTGTCTCCTTAGGTTTTCTTTGTTATTTTGTAGGGAAAAGATACTAGGGTATAGAAAAAGGATAACTGGTCCTTGTTATGAAATAAATAGGGTTTTGGTATAGAGCAAAGAGACAGACTTAGATTTCCTCTTGGTTTTATGTGAGCACTAGGTTTTCTAACTGTAAAAGCTCGCCACCTCTCTCCCAATGGTTGCATAAGGTCCAGGATTTGTTAAACGTCAGCTGCATTACTGTGCCACGTGCGAATGAGGATTCTAGGAACAGGGCACCCTCGGAGGGCATGGCGGCTGGCTGGGGAGACTGGTGGGATGAAGCTTGGTGCCCATTAGGGCACAGTTTACCGGGAGACATTAAACTGGTCTTATAACTTGAGGCCTGATTAATCTTAAAAAAAAGGAGCCCTAACCGGTTTGGCTCAGTGGATAGAGCACTGGCCTGTGGACTGAAAGGCCCCAGGTTCGATTCTGGTCAAAGGCATGTACCTTGGTTGCGGGCACATCCCCAGTAGGAGGTGTGCAGGAGGCAGCTGATCTCTCTCATCGATGTTTCTAACTCTCTATCCCTCTCCCTTCCTCTCTGTAAAAAATCAATAAAATATATTTTTACAAAAAGGAAGTGTAGCGACATCGTTACTAACGTTACTAACGCTGAGGACAGAGGGACACCTCCCTCGGTGTGCCCTGGCCTAACCGTGCCTACCTACAGTCTTGCAGGGTTCTCTCCACGTCAGAAGTGACTTTAGACAGCATGTTTCAAAAGAAAGACGTTAAAACGCTCAGTGACTGTTTGCCGCGTACAGCCTCGCTGTCATCTTCTCTGCAGCGCTCAGAATGGAGCTTCACGCTCGCCGCCCCAGCGAGGGCACAAGCCCATCGGACACAGCACCGCCACCAAAGCTGCCCTGCCCTGCCGACCGCAGCCTTCAGGGCCGGGTTCTTTGGTCTCGGAACCTTACACGAAGCACGAAGAGACCTGCCGCTGTCTGTAGGAACACCTGGCCCTGCCTGTGCCCCGGACTTACCATCTGAAGCAGGCCCCTCCCCTTCCCCAGACTCAGCTGCACTGTCCCACTGCAGCAGGGGCTGGTGAGGACACCAACAGCCCTCCTGCTAGGGGCCGGCCTCCCCGGAGAGGCACCTAAACGCCCTTCCCTTCGCGGGGCTTCCTTTCTGGGTCTGTGTCCTGAGACAATCACCAGGTGACCGGCCATTACCCAGTTGTCAGTCCACACTCTCGCCAGCAGGCCTGAGAGCCGCAGGTGGAGTCTGGGAAGAGCAGGTCTGACTTGCTCTTGGTGGGAATGCCTTGGACCCTGAGAAGAAGGCTGAGGAAACTGCTGTGGCTGCCTGACTTCACGCACTGCCTGGCACCTCCTGGGGGCTGAGCACCGCACCGGGCTAGACTCGCACGGGAGATGCTGATAACAGGGTCCTCAGTCCTTGTGACACGGGAGGAACCGCACTCACGAGGTCCGACAAGGATCACGCACCTGCTCACGCTTCTCACCAAGGCTCTCCTCCTGCTAGTCGAAGCCAAAGCAGGGCCACTGGAGGCAGCTGAGAGGCTTTCAAAGACTGAGACGACCTTGGGGATGCAATAATATTGTGACACCTCAGACGAGTTGACAGGTAGCTTGTTACCTGGGAGAGTAAGAGCGCCTGAGAGTCTTGTGGGAGGGAGCGGTGGGAATGGAGTTGGGCTGAGAAAGGGGAGGGGGGTGCTTCGATAGCCCATCGGCACTCCAACCCCATAACCGACTGCAGTGATCAGAAGAGGAAAATCAGAAAGAGAAACAAAAAAAGGCAAAGGGGAAGGGAGGAGGAAGATGCTACGTTCTAAGTGTCTTAGAGTGCTCTTTCCTTGACCAAGTTCTATCGAAATTCATTGGAGCAAAGTTAATATTTCACCACACAGGGAAAAAGAACACTTTTTCTGGTTACAATTTGGCCTCGATAGTCTTATCGAGACTATCCTTTCCCCTTCGGTCATGCATTTACATTTTTAAATCACAGGAGATTCTGAGTGAAGCCTGTGCACACGCCTACATTGGGAAGGACATGATAGGCACTTAAAAAAATACATGGATATTCCGTGTCAGATCACGTAATCACTTGTTTTAGAAAGAACCAAAGAAAGAACTACAGGCCTTAATTCAAATGGGACCAAAGGAACTATAGCAGGAAGACTCAGAGGACGTGTCCTTGTGGCCAGAGGCTGGGATCCAATCAGACGGGAATTCTGAGGCTGCCACAAGCCATTTCCTCCTGAAACAGTAACGTCACCACTGGAAGGCTAGGCGCCAACGCTCAGCTAGCCAGCTCAGAGGGCACCCCAGGTCCAGTCCTCCGCTCCTGCCACCTCATGTGAAGACTGGAATCACCTGCGAACACAAGTATTCCTCTTCCCTCGCACAGGGCACTATGTGACCTGGGCTTGCCAGGCGCCCTGCCGGCAGTTCTTACAACCAGGGGCCTGGGAAAGGCTGGGGCAGCCCGGCTGGACAGGGGACAGGAGGCTGGGGGAGGCCGGGCGCAAGGACACCGCACACACCGCCCCCTGCCGGTTCCTCGCAGTGCTACAAGCAGGAGCACAAAGTTTATCTCCACCTGAGGACAGTCATGGCCCCATTTCGTAGACAAATGAAGTGTGGAGATGCGAGTCCCTGTGCCTTAAAGGGGCTAAGAACTGTCCCTACGTCACACACTGGGTTGGGGGAGGGCAACCCTCTCAGGCCGGAACTCTGCTCCCTCCTACGGAAGGCTGGGCTCCCCATGCACCCACTTTGATTCTACGGACGGTCCTGATCCTCTGGTGGTGAGTGTAAACCCCCCGAGGACCTGGGACTGCCAGGGTGGCAGAGGTCACCTCGCAGTGCCACTCGCTCTGCAGCAGGTCTGCCAGCACCGGAGTGAGGATGGCACGTATTTTTTTATCTTCAAGGCAATGGATTTCTGAAGTCCGGGTCACCTCGCAGTGCCACTCGCTCTGCGGCAGGTCTGCCAGCACCGAGTGAGGACGGCACATATTTTTTTATCTTCAAGGCAATGGATTTCTGAAGTCCTTGCAACTCTGCTTCCATTCAACATAAACCACACGGGGTAGTGTGTTCAATGGTGAAAACTGCAGGTCAGAACTCTCCTCTCCAAATACCCAGAGTATTTGTTGACTAGATGAGAATAAGCAGTAGTTCCTCCCTCACAGACACAAGGAATGGAATGTGCCACAAAAGTTTAGCCTGTTAGCTATGGCTTATCTAATACTATTGGCTTAATAAAAGTGACTTCTTCACTAGTGATTAAAAAAAAACAACTACCAAATTAGATCCCCCCCATCTTTTTAAAATATTTCCTTATTACTACCATCATGATTCAAGGATAGAATTTTTGGAGAAAAAACTAATAATAGTTCATTTTGAAACTCAGTATTAGATTAAAAAACAACCAGCGCTGACTTCTCCCCTTCAGTGTGGAAAGCCACTGTCATGGTGGCCGCAAGTGCACAGGCCAAGAGAACGGGCACTTCCAGAGCCCGAGAGACCGCCTCCTCGGGAGTCGGCGACAGGTCCATTCTCCCAGTGAGTGCAAAAGTTCCTTTCTCTTAGAGTTTTCCTGGTAGGAAGTATATTGCCTATTTGAATATTTCCAGTGATGTGATGCTGTGAGGCCGTTTTTCCTACTTGGGGCAGTTTTAGTTGAGAAAAACATTTCTCTAAATGAGTACAAACTTGGCTCAGCCCATCTAGCTAGTTAGGCACTGACTAGGACACATGCTTTTAAAAAAGAAAGAAAGGCCCAGCGGGCGTGGCTCAGTGGTGAGTGTCACCCTGTGAACCAGGAGGTCACGATCAGGGCACATGCCTGGGTTTCAGGCTTGATCTCCAGTGGGGGGCGTGCAGGAGGCAGCCCATCAAGGATTCTCTCTCATCATTGATGTTTCTATCTCTCTCTCCCTCTCCCTTCCTCTCTGAAATCAATAAAAATATATTTAAGAAAGAAAAAAAGAAACTACATAACTAAGTAATTCCCTAAAGAATTTTTCAACCAAAAAACTATTTAGGCCACACTTGGAGGTTTTAATATAGAAAATAAATCTCTTCATTTCTTCTACTGACCTGTAACCCTAGCAGTAAACATTAAAGTTAAGCCAATTAAGAATGAATGACTATCTGGAAAAAATAAAATTTTTGTTAATTTAGGGATCCATGAGATTAATACTTAGCTCTAATAAATTATGCTAGCAGCTCCCAACAATCTTTTACTTAGACTATTAGCACAATTAATAAAATACTTAATTTGTTTTACCTTTTGCTTATTACCTAGAGAGTGTACCACCCTGATAATGAAATAGCTAAAACATAAGAAGTATGATCTGTGTATTATGAAAGAACAGATTTCCCATTGATGGTGCAAGTATCACTTCCAGAAGCAACAATTTATAGCCAGAGAACTCTGTGACTTTGCTGCTAGCACTGACCCTGGGCCACTGAAGACAATCATACACTGTGACACACATGGAGATGTTAGCATGAAAAACAAGTGGCCGGCGAGCCTCAGCCACACCTGCGGAAAGGCAGACACATTCTCATGAGTTCCTGGTCTCCAATGTCTCATTAGAGTGGCTTGCTGCTGAATCATGACAACAGCCCAGACTTGGAGTCAGAACATCAGACTTTAATCTACTTATAGTGCTGGGAGGGGGACTTTGGGATGAATAAACTTAAGGCAATATCAACAGTAGGACACTATTACTATAAGCGGATAGAACACTTTGTTTCACTAAGAGAAAAGTACAAGTTTGATATATCCCAAAATATTTATACGATAACCCGAGGAACTGAAGAGAAATTCACTGGTAAGAACAGAGGAGTAAGGGAGACTCTTGATTATCTAAAAATAAAAATTTAAAGGCTCTTATGTTTTGATTATCTTCCTACTAGAGAGGTAATCCTTAAAGGGAAAATGGCATACTTGCAGCATTTTCTTATAATTTTAAGATCTTGATGTCAGCAACCCTTAAGACACAGCCCCTTAACTCTTGCTGTCAGTGATCCCAAAGACCTGGACTTCTTGTAGACAGCACAGCATGTACGGCGCTGGCAGGTCCAGGCTCTGGCTCTTACCTACAAAGTCTGGCCTAGAGAGTCACTACTCTGAGTGGGGGTCCTGGGGGCCTCCAGCACATGCCGGGTCCCCGTACGGCGCTGGCAGGTCCAGGTGGGGGTCCTGGGGGCCTCCAGCACATGCCGGGTCCCCAGGGCCACCTGAGACTGCTGCGACCCTGGCCGGGAGGAGCAGTGTTAACCACCGGTCCCGAGGCAGAGACACTGCCTTAGACTCCGCCAAGCCAGTGTTCACCAGTCGGAGATGCTGCTCCAAGTTCAGTTCTCGGGTTCTTACTCCCTCCTCCAGAGCAGCAGCCTGCTGCAAACGTGAGCCCAGAATGACAGCAACTATGCTTGCAAGGGGCACTGGGCTGGAAAACTACCCCAGACTCTGTGTGGGCGGGCTCGGAGGGCTTGTGCAGATGACTAAACACCCTCTTCAAGGGCTCCCGCCACTTCGAGGACTGGCGATGAGTCTCTAACGATTTCTATGTGTAGCTGTGCTAAATGTAACTTCTTAGCTTCAAAACCTTTAAAGTACTGGACCGTGCTCAGAGTTAGAAGAAACTCAGAGAACATTCAGTACAAATCACGCAATTCACTGTAGATGTTGCCCAAAATTACTCAGTTAAGATTTGGCTGAGGACCGGAATCCATGATCTCCTGATACCCATACACTTTTTGGTATTAAGCTTGGTAAAAACTATAAAAATAGGCTACACTTCAGTGTCTTCACTTCTGTCGAATCCCATTACCTTGGAGACAGGCCCCCATGGGAACAGTTGGTGGGTGAGGTCAGGGGGCTGGTCCTGCTGCTGTTGTGTCGGGAGGGAGTCCGGCCAATTGTGTTGCTCGGAGAGCTCTGGGGTGAAGGCAGAATAAGCATCATTACTCCAGGGCTAAATAGAGAATATGGCCCACTTTTCCCTTGGCCTTTTCATCCACGTGTGTCTACACGGGCATAATTTGTACAATCAGAATGATTCTTTTTCCAAATCCTTGGGGCCAATTTTAAGTGCATATTAAACAAAAAATAGATGACTTTCATATAGGCATTCCTGAAACGGAATAACTGATGCCAGCTGTGCTAGAGTAACAGACACAATTGAGCATTTACATCTCTATAGTATAAAAAAATATGTAACTGATTGAATAACCTAACTTAAGAAAATGGCCATATTGTCCTGGCCGGTGTGGCTGTTGGTTGAACATCATCCTGAGCATTGAAAGGGGCCAGTGTGATTCCTGGTCAGGGCACATGTACGGGTTTCGGGCTCAATCCCCAGTAGGAGATGTGCAGGAGGCAGCCGATCAATGTTTCGCTCTCACATCAATGTCTCTCTCTCAATCCCTCCCTCCCTCCATTCCCCTCTCTCTAAAAATCAATTAAAAAATCTTTCAGAAAAAGAAAATGGCTACATTTACTTTTTTTTAAAAAAAATCCTCACCCAAGGACACTTTTTACACTGACTTTATTTTTTTGGAGAGAAAGTAGGGGAGGAAGGAAGGGAGAGACGAGGGAGAGACGAGGGAGGGATGAGGAAGGGAGGGAGGGAGGAAGGGAGGGAGAGAGGGAAGGAGAGAGAGAGAGAAAGAGAAACATTGATGTAAGCGAGACTATCAATTGGTTGCCTCCTGCATGCACCCCAATTGGGCCAGGGATTGAGCCTGTGACCCAGAATCGAAGCCCCACCCCCTTGGTCCGCAGGCTGACGCTCTAACCTTTTAGCAAACAGGCCAGGGTGAAAATGGCCATATTTAAATACCAGGTTCATTCATTCATTCATTGGGAATATGGCAGGATTAAAACTGGTCTCCCACTCTTGAGACAACCACAGTCTATTAAAAGAGAGTAAGCAAGCTGGCTGTTAGAGCAAGCTGTAGACGAGGGACACAGAGAGGCCATGGCCAGTACACACAGGCACCAACGTGGCCGAAGCACTCACCACACTGGTGTTACTGGAATTCTTGAGGTGGTTATGCAGGAGTTTGGTGGCACCATCCTGGAATGTTTTGGGCAAGGCACCAAGTAACATAGTAAATTCAGGAGTGTTCAATTCAAACAGCGATATTAGCACAATCTGTGCGGCCTAGGAAAAGAAGACATGATGAATTTATGGAGTGTCCAACAGCATATCTTGGTCAAAATGTTCATGAAAATTGTTTTTAAAAGAAAACATTTTCATATGAATAAAATAAATAATAAAAGGACATCTTTGCTATAAAAATAAATACAAAAATAAAATGTACCTGGAAAAAAATTATATCATCAACTCTAAATAGTGTTACTTCAAGCTGGAAAATAAGTCCTGGGTGCATTTAACGCCCCGGCCTTGGACCTCCGTAGCACATTCATAATAAACTCCGAAAGCTTCCCTGTGCTGTCAAGCACTAGGAATGAAGCTGGTAAAGACACACACACGCTTCTAAGCAAGCTCCCGAGTTCCCTCAACCCCACTCCTAGTGACTGAGAAATACTAGAAAAAGGCAGCTCAACTGCATCTGAAAACTCCCACTTTCACACCTCTGAACTGAGGAGAGAGTCTTTGAGAAGCAAAGCAGAATTACATGATACAAATGAAAAATGTATTCTCCTGCCTTTCAGAAAACGTTCTACCTTTGCGTGTTAGGGGACAACATACTGCAGGACTGCTTGCACCACTGCAGCGGCAGGTGGGAAAAAGCAATTAGCCGAAGCCATAGCAGCCACGTGAGGCTCGAACTCCTCCAGCAAGCTCTGGTGCTGGGGTGGCAGCCGGCACTCTTAGCCTAAACACAACGCCTAAGGAATTGGTTACATAGGTTTGATTTAGAAAAACTATGCCAAAGAACATTTTACTAAGTACTAACTGGCATTTCTTACAAATTTCTAAGAGTCAAAAGAAAGGAAAGAACATTATGAAAATCTTTTGACTAAAAGCATAAATTTATTTTTCCTAAGACTGTAACTTTTAGGATTGCAGTAATTATTGTGAATATTTTCCCCATGATATATAATATTACCCCCCCCCAAAAAAAAATCTGCTGAGAAATTCTTTGGAAATAAGCATCACAAAATATTTCAATGCTTTTATAATGTGAAAATTTTGGGTACAGTAAAGACAAAATTGATGTTTATGCCTGGAGAAAGAAAAATAAATCCAAAGACCCAAATGTATTTAACCAAAAATAAAAATTAATTATGAATGTTAAAACATCAGTAGGATGTTCTTTACAGAATAATCAAAAATTACTTTTCAATATGTCAAACATATCTATAATGATTCACTACACATAGCATTTGGCAAAAGTATCTTACTTTTTCTCTTGACCTGCAAACACAGGCGTTAGTAACCTTTCCATTCCAATTAAATCACAACAGGCCAGTTGCTTTCATGACAGGACCAAAATGTTATTATAATTGTACTAAAATATACAGTTCTCTATTTCATTACTGTATCATTCTTAATAAATCATTATCTGGAAGAATCCATTTCACCACCCATTTAATATACTAGTAACATGATTTCAATGTTTATGTAAGAGCAAATTCCAGAAAAAACATGCAAAGCAACCTGTGCGTTTTAAAACACATTGATTAGATGTTAGGAAAAGTGCATGCAGAAAAAACTGCACTTCAAAGAGCAAGGAAGAAGCAGACTTAATTTAGCAGGGGAGGAAGTCAATGCTGACCAAAATCTAATAAGAAAGTTTAGGCAACTACTTTTTTGTTGACTGAAAATGACATTTGAAAATGATAAAATGGAAACAGTACAAGCTTCCCAGACATGATACCCAGTGCCACAAACTCACTTGAGGTTTTACATGAAGTAAATTACAAGATGAGTGGGATCTTTCAGGACCATGGAGGCTGCAAGATGATGGGCCTAGAAAGTGTGCTGACTCATGGCTACTTAACATTAGTAACTTTCCGTCATGTGGGGGGAAAAAGTGCAGTAGATTTAACTTTGACCCACCAAAGAACTTTCTCTCAATAATAAAAAGTTGAATTTCTTTAAGAAATCAAATAAAAAGACAGGGAATTTTGAAAACATAACTCGATGGACAGATGGTATATGTGTGTGATTTACATATATAAATAAATATAATTTATTTTTACATTTTCCAAAATATAAAATGCATATGATTTTATACAGTTCACAAAAGTTATGCCTTAGGTTAAAGCTATTTTCAAACTAAAATATTTTTCTAATGAGATTCAAGCTCCAGAAATGGATAAAAAGTGAAATTTAAATATATTATTTTAAAAATATTTTAAATCATAGTTTCAAAAGGAATCAAAGTATATGGTCCTAAAATATTTTATCTACAACCCTCTGTGTCAGTGAGAAGTTAGAATACTAGAGTCCAAGAAGAAAACTGAGCTGTATTTGTCATTACCATCAATATCCTCTCACTAAAGAAATAATTCCAAATATGGGGAGAAACGCATTTGAAAAAGCCTGGGCATGGCTCCCGTTCAGTAACGAATCAAGAGGAGCAGGCTCTCGTCCCACCTCTGAACTCGTGCCTTCTGCAAAAGGCACTAAGTAGCCACACAAACCTCCAGAGAGCCGCTGGCTTCTTCTACTGAACAGCTAGGACAATTTATTTTAACGATTAAGTAACAACTGTAAGAAGAAATGATTCCCATTCATGCCCCTACACAGACTCTGGGGGGTGAGGGTGAAGGGTTCTTCCAATGTCACGGCTGCTGAGTGAGAGCCCCCCGGTTATCTGCTGTGCACCTCACAGCAGAAAATAACCCTCTGGACGGGTCACGGAGCTCCAGCAAACGCTTCAGGGGAAACTTAAAATTGGGGAGGAAGAGGAGTTTGCTGTTTAAGCAACTATTACTATGCCCTTCAGACTGTCATTAAAATCACTTTAGAAAATCACAAAGAGAAGGTACTGGAAAACTGTCAGGCATTTCTTACTTAGAAGCTGTCCCTTACTGGTCCCTGAACATAGGGTAGCACTGGACGTGGCTCTTTCTTTGGAAAGGGAGTTAATCATAAAAACATACCAAACACAAACATTTCCGCAGCTTCACACACACTCACATAGAATTATATTAATTTTAGATTTCTTCAAAATCTCCTGTCTCCACAAGGGTAATCAGTATTAATATTCTAAAGTGCAAACAGCAAAATATCTTTTCAAATCAGCGCAGTTTTAAATCTACCTGTTTACAATTTTCTTCCAAGTTTCCTTCTCCGCGCCCAGAGCAGGTTGAAGCTGACCTAGTGGGGAAATCCTCACCTACGCGACTACGCTGCAGCGGGGACTACAACAGGAAAGGCAGGGGATTCGTCAGAGAAGCAGAAGTGCTTAAATAAAGCATGGCTACCGGGAGCTGGAAAAGCATTCGGCTCCTTTTAGAAAATGTCCTACACGTAGGATCCGAAAGCTAAGATTAAGGAGAACAGTAACAGTAACAGTAGCAACTCCCAGTTTTAAGCCTCGATCGTTTGCTAGGCCCTTGACAGTCAAGATCCTTCCTGGAAGGAGCAGTCTTCTTGCCCTAGTGCGGAAACAGGTCAGAGGTCAAAGTGAGACCGGAAAGGGCAGTCACAGCTAAGCTGAGATGAATCAATGGTAAAATCCTTAGCTTTCAGTAGGCCGCACTGCCAATCTATAATTGGTAATTTAACATTTTTTCAATTTTTGAAATTTCAACTTTTAAAGGCTATTTATATGCTTTTCCTGCTCCAGGAACAGCCTCTTTTCTTTGCCATCTTCATTTCCCACATTTCTCACAACATTTGGGGGCTAATCGGTTATTTCCTCTGACAAAGCAGATGCTATATTTTAGAGAATCACATATGATAAAGCAAAGGGATTCTGAATCCTAAAATATAAACATGTGGTTCAAATTCTACTGTCATTACCACCCTCCCTTTAACTGATGAGAAATCTTCCTAATGCCAGAAAAAAAATTGGTTTTCAATTTGTTCCACTAACAGCAACAACAAAACCAAAACAATCCTCAAGCAGTAGCAGCAAGAGCTACAACAGCAAACGAAGCACCTTCAGCTCTTTCTATCCTCCCAATAATGTCTAAAGCAAGTGTTATTATTCTCATTTTACAAATAAGTAAAAGGGATTCAGAGGTTAAATTACTTGCTCATGTCACTAAAGAGTGACAGAGGCAGCCCTGGCCTGGTGGCTCAGTGGGTACAGTGTCAGCCTGTGCACTGAAAGGTTACAGGTTGGAGTCCCGGTCAAGGGTATGTACCTAGGTTGCAGGTCTGATCCCTGGCCCCGGTCGGGGCATGTGCAGGAGGCAGCCAATCAATGTGTCTCTCTCACATCAATGTTTTTCTTTCTTTCTCTCTCTCTCTTTTTTAAAAATATATTTTTATTGACTTCAGAGAGGAAAGGAGAGGGAGAAAGAGATAGAAACATCAATGATGAGAGAGAATCATTGATCGGCTGCCTCCTGCACCCCCCTACTGAGGATCAAGCCCGCAACCTGGGCATGTGCCCTTGAATGGAATCGAACCCAGGACCCTTCAGTCCACAGGCTGACACTCTATCCACTGAGCCAAACCGGCCAGGGCTCTTTCTTCCTCTCTTGTTCCCTCTCCCCTTCCCACCCTTCCACTCTCTCTAAAAAAATCAATGGAAAAATAAAAATATCCTTGGGTGAGGATTAACAAGAAAATAACCTGTTTTATCTTTTATAGCTTTAAAATGATAATGACAATTTTAGATCTTAGAGCAGAGTAATAAATAATCACAATTTCTAACTATTTTTTATTTAGCTACTACATTCATGTAGACCAGTGGTTCTCAACCTTCCTAATGCTGAGGCCCTTTAATACAGTTCCTCATGTTGTGGTGACCCCCAATTTCATTGTTACAAATTGAACATAATTAAAGCATAGTGATTAATCACAAAAACAATATGTAATTATATATGTGTTTTCCGATGGTCTTAGGTGACTCCTGTGAAAGGGTCGTTCAACCCCAAAGGGGTCGCGACCCACAGGTTGAGAACCACTGCTGTAGACAGTCTTTCAAATACATCTCCAATGCTGGGTAAGGCAGCTGCATCACCCACAACAGTATCTATATTATATAATGTAGAATGATGGTACATGAAAAC